GCGATAAAGTGAGTTAAACACGGTAGCTACTACGTGCACACCTTTGTTTTTACAACAGGTTGTGAGTTTAACATGGTAACGGTTGTATTTATAATGTGTTAACTTTTTTATCATAGGAGATAGTAAGTTAAAAATGGTAGCTACTATGTTTACACCTTTGTTTTTACAGCAGATTGTGAGTTTAACATGGTAACGGTTGCAGCTATAATGTGTTAACTTTTTTATCATAGCAGATAGTGAGTTTAAAATGGTAGCTACTATGTTTACACCTTTGTTTTTACAGCAGATAGTGAGTTTAACATGATGGTTAGTTTATGATGAAAATTTAAACCGCTTTTTGTGAAATCTAAGATGGTGACAATTCGTTTCATTTTACGTCATTTTAAGAGACTGACTCAGGCGGACCTAGTTTAATCTGCTCTGTTTGAACAGTTAGAGAAACTGTAAATGTTTTTTTGAAGGCTTATCGCATATACTTTTCAAACGTTATGACTTTGCGATTGATATCTACAGTTCTACATATCACTGTAGTAGCTGATAAAAGTCAAATGCAATCGTTTAGATATGACACTTTATCAGAGGCTGTCAATGAATAATCTCAAAGTAACATTTTATGACAACAAATGAAGGCGAGTCTAAAGATGACTTCATTGAAATATTGCATGACAGCAATGCTGATCCATGTCAAAACACTTTTACTTTGCGGTTTCTTAGTACCCATCCCTTCGTATCGTTTTTTATATGTATTTAACATATCTATGGCAAACACATTTTCGAGAGTATTTACAAATAAATCGTGATAATTACAGTGATAAAAAGCACTTTTTTATTTTTTCTTACTGTAAATACCCAGACTTCTGTTTGTTTTTATTTTTTTATCTAATGTTTGATTGTGGAAATGAATAATATGATTTTGTTTCGTAATAATGGATATTATGTACCAGCACAAACTACACTCTTGATGGAAACACCCTGATTTTTCCATTGACTTTTACAGTTTTAATCTGTGTCAAGCTTTATTTTAAAAGTTTTAAAGGTTGTATTGACTACATGAATAAACACATTTCAGTTCCTTTCTCTCTAGATCCTTCCACTGACCTGTTTGTAAAAAATCCATTCTAAATGTGGCAAGAAATATAAACATCTAGTATGGTGTAAGGTTTAAATACATTATAGTTCATAACGTGTGGCTCCCAGTGTGGCGTATAACACATATATAAATTATTTTCTCAGTTTGATTTTTGTTTGTTTGTTGTTACGCTCAAGCTCAAAGCCTTACAATGGGCTATCTGTGTTGTGCTCACCACGGGTATCGAAACCCGATTTTTTGCGCTATTTTGCAGTTCGAAGATGTATTATTTATAAGTACTTTATACAGAAGCTGTTCTAGAAAATTACGTCACAGTATCATGAATTTTACACCGCTGAACAAACAGGTAAACCATGTGTTCATATTTTATATTTCTTCTATCAAACCCCATACCATTAGAGACTACCATGACAAGATGAACGGCATGTATCGCCAAAAGATGTGCATATTTCAAGGAAAATATTATTGTACGACATATATCTGCTTATAAATGAAAGAGCAAAAGTGTTGTCATATAGATTGTTCTGTGATTATTGTATACTTTGTTTCGTATTCAAGAACACAGTCCGAGACTGTATGATATGACCCGTAATGGCCAGGTGGTTAGGGCGCTCGACTCACAGTCTGCGGGTCGCGGGTTCGATTTACCGTCACACACCAAACATGCTCACTCTCTCAGCCATGGGGGCATTATAAAGTTACGATCAATCCCACTATTCGTTGATAAAACAGTAGCCCAAGATTTGGCGGTGGGTGGTGATGACTAGCTGCCTTCCCTCTAGTCTTACACTGCTAGATTAGGGACGGCTAGCGCAGATAGCCCTCGTGTAGCTTTGCGCGAAATTTCAAAACAACCAACCATCCTGTATGAAAAAAGATATATGTAATTAAGTCGTATTCAAGAATACACTCGAGGACTATATGATATGCATATATATAACTAAGTTTATCTTTTACTTATCATCAAGTTTTCTATTACCTTGCATATCAAGCAATGTGAAGAAAGTGACTAATTTAATTATCTGATATCTCAGAATAAATGCTCCATTTATTGACAAGGCCCGTCTGTGATATCACGTGACAACTAGTAAACGTCTTTTGTCTGGTGAACTAGACAAAAGTCGTTTCCGAGATAACATATCTAAAATTCTATCATCGATTTGAAGGGATCGTGGAAAGTTGCTGATTTCACTTACTTGTTTAACAATCTACTAAGTTATGGTAATACAGGAAAGTGATAAATATATTAGGTATTTAGTACGAACTCAAACTATACAGTTATTGGAAGCAAACCCATGTATTCAGCTTATGACTTTTATGTTTTCAATCTATCTGTCAAGCTTTATTTTCCATTTCGTCAATTTTAAAGGCTATCTTGGAACGTAAATAAACACTTTGCAGTTTCTTTCATCCAAGATTCTTCAACTCGTCTGTTTGTAAAATACCCATTCTAAGCCTGACAAAAACTATAAGTTATTCATTGCAACATAAACAATGCAAATGTTTGCAGCACTATGAGCCCTCCAGCTGCACTATATGAGGTGTTATGGTGAGCTATGGTTTCCTTAACTTAATCATCCCCCTGAGATAATCCCCCTCGGCTTTCAATAAAATTAAGTCCAAGGGTCGAATTAAAGGTCAGAAATACCCCCTTTCTCGAGTAGCTATAAAGCCACAAACTTGGGAAGGGGTGCATCTTCATAGTAATAGTTTTACACGCGACACACTTCCATACTTTCTACAAAAGTAACATACACAGTGCGGTATATTCTGTGCGACAGTCGTTCTTGTTCTTGTTTACTGATATCGCTCATGGGTGATATTTTATGTCTAACTGACGTCATCATGCGATATGTTAATGTTTTTTTAAGCAGAGGAAATCCTTTTGTTTTTTAGTCACCACATAACATAATTCGATAACGTAAAGATAAAAGTTGTAAGTCCGAAGACAGAAACGAAATAACTATACAAGTTCCCACAACTACACCAGTGAATGGTCGTGAAGTTTGGGCTTAAAACTGACATGCGCAAGAACCGCAGTGAAGGTGAAGC